CTGCCATTTAGGCAAAATGATAGAATGTGGGCTGGGGATGTGGCTCARGCGGTAGCGCGCTCSCCTGGCATGCGTGCGGCCCGAGTTCGATCCTCAGCACCACATACCAACAAAGATGTTGTGTCCGCCGAGAACTAAAAAATAAATATTAAAAATTATCTCTCTCTCTCTCTCTCTCTCTCTCTCCTCTCTCACTCTCTCTTTTAAAAAAAAAACGATAGAATGTATTTCTCCCAGGACTGAAGACTGGGAAGTCCCAGGGGAAGAGGCTCACGGGCTTGGGGTCTGGTGAGGACCGGCTGTCGCTCTAGGTGGTGCCTTCAACGCTGCATTCTCACCTGGTGGAAGGCAGAAGGTGAGARGGGCTGGAAGCTACCCGAAGGCCTTTCTGTAAGGGCCTTGGTCCTGCTTAGCAGAGGAGCTGCTGCTGCTGCTGCTGATTTTTTTCTTCAGACCTGGGGATGGAACCCAGGGCTTCATATGTGCTAGGCAAAGTGCTCTGCCCCTGAGCAGCACCCCGGCGCTTTTTAAATTTTATTTTGAGACCGGGTCTAAGTTGCTTAGGGCCTTGCTAAGTTGCTTAGGTTGGGCTCCAACTTGCAATCCTCTTGCCTTAGCCTCCTGAGTGGCTGGGATAACAGGCCTGGAGACTGCTGTCAGTACTTTTGATATATTATGAATATTGAACCCATTTTGATTTGCAGACTTTCCCCCACTCCTGTAGGTTGTTTTCCACAGTCTTGAAGATGTTCTGTGCATGGAAACTTTTATTTTTATGAATTCTAGTGTATCATTTCTTTTGTCATGTGCTCTTGGTGTCAAATCTAAGACTTAGTTGCTATATGTAAGGTCATAAATGTGCACCCCTGAATTTTCTTCCAGATGCTTTATCATTTTAGCTTGTATATTGAGGTCATGGGCCCACTATGAGCTTGTCCTCCTACCTGGGGTGAGGTGAGGGCTCAGCTGCACTCTCCAACTGGCCCAGCCCCATTGGAAGGCTGTTCCTAACCCACAAACGGTCTGTCCTCCTTCTCAACAATCAACTGCTCAGTCAAGTTGGGTCCTTGGGTTTGCTTACATGCTCTCCACTGGTCCCGCTGGCTTGTCCACCTGCCCTTATTTCTGTACCATGAGGTAGCTCTGAAGTAAGTTGAAATTAAGTGACATGAATCTAATTCTTCCTTTTCAGTGTTGTTGGCTACTTGGGGCCCCTGGCAGTGCCATATGAACTTGTTCTTTCTATTTCTGCAAAGAAGGCAGGGGAACTGGGCCGGGGCTGGTGTGAAGTCTTGGGTCCCGTTGGAGCACCGCCGTTTTGCCATTATCAGGTCTTCCAACCGGAAACTGGGCTGTCTCCTCATCTGCTTGGGGCCTGTGGCTTTCAAATCTGTGCTTAGGTCTTTTGTTCTTTTGTGTTTCACTGCAAATGGGATTGGTTTCTTAATTTCCTTCTCAAATTATTCAATGCTGATGTATCATTTTATTTCTCGCCCTTCACTGGCCACGGAATGAGAATCCTCACGAGGCGGGCTCTCGTGGAAGAGCCTCACCTGGGTTTCCCAGCTGCACCCTCCACCCCTCCCAGGGGCCCCTCCTGGAGCCACAGACACTCAGGGCCAGGTAGGAGCTCCTTGTGTGATCCTGCTCCTGCTAACCCGAGGCCAGGCTACAGTTCTTGATCCCACAGATAACCCAAAGACTGAGAGCCTAGGCCGATGCCTTCCCCGCCCTCCATTACCCCTGGGGACCCATGTCAGCCAGGGCTGAGGAGGGAAGGCTGCAAAGCTAGAAGGGACTCTGCCCCTCCCCCAGACAGGCTGGGTTCTGTTGGCCTCATCAGGTGTGGGGCTCTGGGTGGGTGTCCTTGGGGGTGGACAGCCTCTTGGTCATGTCTGCATGGCTCCTTCACCCATGGTGCTGTGCCCAAAGTGATGCTGGCTTCTGGGCTGGGGGCCTGGGTGGTAGGATGGCTTGGGAAGCCTTGGCTCTGGCCTTGGTGGCCATGCTAACTGGAGGACAGCCCTTCCTCTCGGGGCTGGGGTCCTGCGTGGTCAATGGCCTGTCACTTCCCTGGCCCCTGGAAGTCCCTGTGGGGCCTCAGCCTGTTTGGAGGATGCTGACCTATCCCAGGGAGAAGAAGCAGGTTCTGGGGGGCGTGGCAACCATCCTCCTAACTGCCCTGAGCCTGCCTGGCCAGGGTAAGGCAGGGTCTCATAGGTCAAGGACCCAAGTGGTGGTTGGAGGTGGCGTGGCTGACGGCTGACGGGGAGGGCTGAGGGGCACAAGGGCTGCCTCCCTGGCCTGGGGACATGAGGCCCAGCCTGCCAGGTGGGGCCAAGAAGGCTGGGCCCCAGGAACATCCAGGGCTGCCACCACTGTCCTCAGGGCCTCCCCTCCCCCACAGTGCTGTTGAGAAGGCCCTGGGACACTGGTGGCAGCCTGGGTGTGTTCCCCACCCACAGGGAGCACCTGGCCACGACCTTCCCTGCAGGGCCCCACAGCTGCCCTCAGGAGGGGAGAGCTGGGAGAGAGCCTCCGGGAGCGGCCTGCCCAGGGCCAGCCTGCCCAGCATGCTCCTGGCTCTCCTGCTACAGCATCTCAGGGATGGGTGACCTCCCCAGTCACTAGCCCCACTTCTTGTCACTTGGCGGGCAGGCGGGGTCTACCCCTACTTGGCCTCTGGGGTGCTGAGGCAGGGTGGGGCCAGAGGTGACTGGGCTGCAGCCACAGGGACCTGGTGTCCTGGTGTGTCACGGGAGGGCACAATGGCTGATGTGAGCATGCAGTAGGCTACCATTGGGGACTCCCTTTTGCTTCCTCCCTGTCCCTCTCTCCTTCTGGATGTGGCCTTTGCTCTACATTCCCCTGACCTCTGAGCCAGTTGCAGAAACCAGCTCTTGACCACAAAACAGACCCCAAATTGGAGGGTCCTCCTTTGAAGAGAAGAGAGGCCCATGAGCAGGAACTCGCTCCCTGTGGGCAGCACCTGGGAGACRGCCTCTGGTGCAGCCCCTGGCCTGACGCCCCCACTGCCTCATAGACTCTGAGGGGAGCTGAGCCTGGGACCTTGAAAACAGCTGCCTCCTGCCGAGCGCTGCCCCCCGGGCATGGCCTTTCTGTGGGCCTCCTTCCAGGACCAGCAGCCRCGGGCCTCATGGCTAGTGGGGCAGGAGAGGCCAGGGAGGCTGACCCGTGGAGGGAGGCACTGGAGGCTCTGGGCCTGGCTCACCTGTCAGMACCCCACAGGGCACGTTGCTCCTGTCCTGCCTCCTTGTCCTGCGGGGGTCACCTGAAGCTGGCCATTTGCCTCTTCTGCTGGGCACGTGAGCAAAGCCAGCCTGCAGCCGGCGCCCTTGCCATGGCCACAGGCCTGGAGTGGCTGTGGAGATCTGACTTGACGTYAGGCCTCCTTCCTGAGACTGCCTCGGGTCCGTCCCCCGCTGTTATGAACACCCGATTTGTTCTCAGGTCGTGCGGACAGAAAAACTGATGCTAATAGGAAAAATATCACTCTTGTAACCAGAGCTGACCTGGCACAGCCCCACAGCGCTGGGCACCTCTCTTGTTTAGGATGAACCCTGACTTAGCAATCCCAGCGCAGGAGCCCTCCAGGTCTCCATGGCAACGGCTGCCTCCCCCTCTCTGGTAGGCATGAAGGACTGGGAGCCGCGGCTGTCTGCGTCACAGGAACCCACCTTCTCAAGGCTGCACCCATGGCCAGGCCCCAGGTTTGCTGCTCATGGCCGCAGGCAGCCCCCAGGGGCCATTAGATCCCAGGACAGTGGCCAGCACAACGCCAGGAGCTCCACAAGGCAGGAGCCGCGCGCGGCCGTGCAGCTGTCGGGCTGCAACCTTCCTGGCTCCTCTGGCCAAGGACCCTGAGCCTTTGTGGGTTCTGTCTGGAAGGAGGGTCTCTGGYTGTGGACAGAGGGGGCGGTCCGCTGAATAATGCCTCCAAAGATGTCCACACCTCAACCGCAGGGCCGATGACTATGCTTGCCCCCCGTTGAAGCCGGTTAGAGCCTGAAAATTGGTTCATTTGAAAATGGGATGGGGCTGGTCACCCAGGGGCCCAGGGTAGTCAACAACACTGAAAAGGAAGTGAACAAAACAAAACAAGGCCTCCCCTTCCCTGGACCTCCAGACACAAGAGACACTGCTGGCTCTGGAGAGAGGAGGGGCAGACAGGCCCCCCTGGAGGGGGACAGAGGCGGAGCTTTCTCCCCAGCAGCAATGCTGCCCTGGGACACCTCATTCTCAGCCCCACGAGACTCCCCATGTGGGACAACGGCTGGCCTTGTTAGAGAAGCAAGTGACAACACAGCAGCAGGAGCCCCCCGGAGCTCGGCCTTGGAGAAGAGACTGTGCGAGTCGTCTGCTCCCAAAGGTAGGGCCGCACTGGGTTGCTGAGGCTGGCTTTGAACTGTGACCTTCCTGCTTCCGCTTCCCAGCTGCTGGGGCCATAGGTGCGGCCTTCCCTTGAACAAACTCCTCTCACAGGGACAGACGGGGCACATGATGTAAAGTACTGTGCTTTCTTTTGGGGCTGAAGCCCAGCTGCCAGGGCAGCTGCAGAGGACTTAGGCGATACCCCCCCACCCCCACCCCAAGGCTCCCTGCAGGCCTGCCTGGCCTCCCAGGGGCAGATGTTGCTTCCTGGGCAGAGGCTGCCACTAGCGGCCACTTATGCACGTCTTTAGTTTTTATTAAGTTTATTATTTGTCATTGCTCTTAGCTTCACATTACGATTCCATGTTTTGTCAAAGTTTTTTTCAATTCTCATTTTGGTAAAATAAATAGAGATAAAGGAACTCTAGGCGGTGCTCTCTCGAGCCTGTTAACTTCATGATTGAGTTTTCGCATCAGCCTGGGAAGGCCCCGCCCACGCGGTGCTAGCGGATGCACAGCATGAGCAGGGCTCCAGCGGACCAGAGAGGGGAGGGCCTGACCCCTCCAGAGCCATCTGCACTTTGCCAGTGGTGGTTTTGCCTCAAAAGTAACAGAAATACAAGTTAGGTTGCAATCGAGCTGAACCTCAGCTACAGGAGGTCAGCAGCTCTGTGGGTGAAGCTCAGTTTCCAGAAGGTTCCAGGGTTTCACCCACAGGAGATCCCCACAGAGCTTAGGGGGTGCAGGGGAAAGGGTAGAACTTGTGGGGGAGTCAGGACTTTCTAGGGCCTTTCTGACTCCAGGCTGCTTGTGCTCCCAGGTGAGGGAAGGGCCTTCACCCTGGAACCTCCTGGTGGACAGCTCATTTCCTGGGGGCAGCAGAAGGGTCTCCTCCTCCTCCATCCTGCCTTGTCCACCCGTCTGGCTCTGGGGTTGGCTCAGGGCTGCCCTCAGGGCTCCATCCACCTGGAAGAGTCTTGGCCAAAACAGAGCTATCGCCCCCCACATGAGGGGCCTGGCTTTCCTGTCCCGACTCACTCAGACCCCACTATTATTGGTCTCTGATCGGCAGAATCAATTAAGCCGTCTCATTCCTCATCTCTGAAAGATCCTGATTCCCAAGGAAAATGGAAACGCTTTCCAAACGCCATCATTGTGGTTGTGCCATGTGTGTGCAATCGGCAGCAATCCCGAGCTCCCTCCCATGGTCCAGCCGTCCACAAGGCCCCTCTGGAACTGCACATGCACGCGCACGTGCGCGCGCACACACACACACATACACACACACACACACACACACACACACACACACACACACAAACACACACACGCCGGGCAGGCCAGGCCAGGCCTCCAGAATGCTTCTGCATCACGGACTGCAAGATGCAAGCCTTGCTCACACCAGCGTAGGGCAAAGGGCTGAAGACCGGCTATTGCTACCCACAACCCCTGGGGCTCCGTGCACCTCAGCACCTGTGTGAGGTGTGTGCACGGCAGGGAGGCCATGGCACCCATGCACACATGCACCCCAAGCAGGGACATGGAGGTCCTGGCCATGGTCACTAGAGCAGCACTTCAGGGATGAGCCTGCAGGTTGGGACGGTGGCTGATCTGTGAGGACCTCATTGTGTCTAGAGCAGCAGAGCCCAGGGGCCCTCTCCTGTGAATGCCTTCCTGCGAGAAGGACCCAAACCAGAGTCCAAGGGCCTGGCTGCACGGGGGGTAGGGTGAGGGTGGCGAGCCCCCCTCTTCGTACCACGACCCCCCTTGACAGGGAGGCCTGCAGCTGAGCAGCCCTGGAGGGCCAGCTCGGGGCTGCTTCCTCCTCACTGCTGGCTGCAGGGGTCTCCCTCCCTGTTTTCTGACACCTCAACATCCTCCAGCCTGTTCCCAGCAGCTCCAGGCTCAGGCCTTGAGAGGACAGTGGGGCCAGGCCAGGCTGGTGGGGGCCATTCTGGGGCCCACGGGAGCCCCAGTGCTGCTTCTCTGTCGTTTCTGTAGCTAATGCTCTGATCACAGGGAAAATAAAACAAGTCTGTTCCCTTAAAAAAACCTCAGAAGGAAAAGAGGCCAGGAAGGGGCCACGGTGCACAGCTGTGTGTCGGGAGTCCCGGAGCCTGGGCGCTGGTTCTCTGCAAGAAGTGATGTCAAAACAAAGCCCTCCCCTTCCCTGGACCTTCTAGACATTACAGCGAAGAGAAAAAAGAAAGCGCGTGGCCCTTCCTCCGAGGGCAGCAGCTGGGTCAGGAGCCGACGTCTGTGGCGAGCCTGGGGTTCACTGTGTGTGTGGTGGCCGCAGCAGGAGCCCGGTGCCACTATCTGACGCGCTTCTCCACCGAGTACACGGAGATGTAGTAGTCGTTGCTTCCCACGGCCAGGTGGGGCTGTGGGGCGAGAGAGCAGACGGGGCATGAGTAGGGGCCACAGGCTGCAGGGGGCAAGGTCATTCCCGCAGCCTACCTCTGCACTGAGAGGGCTCGGGAAGGCGGCCTGTGAACTGCCAGGTGTTGGCAGGATGGGGCGTTGCCCGTATGCCAAGCACAGGCAGAGCGTGCACTACCCACAGGGCCCTGCTGGCACCTGGGCAGAGCTGTAGGCAGGCTCCCGTGGAACCCCGCACTGCAAGGTGCAGGCTGGCAGGTCCTAACTTGAAAACACAACGGCCTACGACCCAGGGGCAGAGTGCATGGACAGGCCTGTATCACACAGACCTGCTGCCTCACCAGGAGGAGCATGCCTGAACCCTTTCTGCTCGAGGTTCCCCTGATGGCATGTGTACAGGGGCCAGAGGACACTGCTGCTGGCCCTCTGCTCTGAGCAGACCTCCATTCCTCATGTGTTCTGGAGACTAGGAAGGGAAGGCCCAAGGCTTGTGGGTCACTCAGGTRGCCCTGCCCACTACCCCCACTACCCCCACCCTGGTGTGAGGGCACAGACCCAGTGTGGGTGGAAGGCCAGGCAGCTGATGGCCCCGACTCGCTGGCCCATGAACCCGTCGTAGTACTTGATGTTGTTGATGAGTTCGCCGTTTCCGTTGTAGATGGCGGTGAACTGGTTCATGGAGCCGCTGCAGCAGGAGGAGGAGAGAGGTTCAGCAGTTATGTCCCTCTCCTTTGGACTGGGAGACAGAACGGCCCCCAGAAGAATGGCTTAGGGACAGGCCGGCTGGGGATGGGGCTGGTGTGGTGGTGGGGACAGGCCAGGAAGTTGGCCCAGGGTCCCCAGACAGAGAATGGCAACTTGTCTGGATGCCCTCATGTGAGGATGCAGGCCTCCATCCCTAGAGACCCCTCAAGAGTGTTCTGGGAGAGAGATGCGGCARGGAAGAGGTCTGTTCTCAGTCCACCCCATCTTTCTCCAAAAGGCACAGAGGAGTAAACGTGGCAGGGCTGGGGAAAGGTGGCACAGTGGAGAGGGGGCTGCGGGAGAGGCAGCACCTACCATGCGATGAGGTTTGCCTGGGGGTGGATGTCCAGGGACGTCAGCCCCTTCACAATCTGTAGCACATTCACAGACTCAGGCATCCGGGGATCAAAGAAGCGCACATCTCCATTGACACTGCAAGAGAGGCCGCAGTGAGGCCTGCGGGCCAGGCCTGGGGATGCCCTGCTTGTGCCCTGGCTGGAGGATGATGGCCCTGGACATGTGCAGTCTGACACCCACTTGCACCCGCTACTGGAAGCCAAAGCTGCCTGGGCGTGCTGTGCTCTGTGCTGGGCCCAGCGGCCAGGCCCTCACTAAGCTCTCCCAGAGCAGAGAAGGGTCCAATGTGGTGCCTAGGGCCACTGCTGAGCCTGCTGCAAAGCAGGACACCCATGGGGGATGGGAATGGCTGTAAGTCAAGGTGCAAAGGAGTGAGCTACTGGTCACCAAGATCAGATTTTGGGCCACTGGGGCCCAGGGTGGTGGGAGATGGAGCTGGGTGGGGTCACGCTGCCTGCAAGGAGGGCCCTGCCTTCCACCTCTGCAGGTGTCCCTCCCAAGAGCGGGGTTTTGTCTTTATATCACAAACAAGGAAGAGAGGGCATCTCTTTGAAAGAATGGAGGCTTTGTGACAGTAAATCACACTCTGGTGTTCCTTTAACGGGCAAATAAATATTCGCTGCTCTCAGCACAGTATTTACCGAACAGCAGAACTGAATTTATGCACAGACAATGATGTGTGGCAGCGGGCAGCGGCAGTCCTGCAGGCCACGTGCCTGCAACAGCATGTGGCCCTGCCGCCTGTGGGGAGGAAGGGGGCCATGCCTCCCAGGGCTCCTTTCTGCTTGGCAGGTGTCTGACCACCCTCTGGCTCTGCACCCTGACGTTCCTGGCCAGTCCCAGTGCTGGAGACAAATACTACCCTGAAATGCCAGCATCCCTGTTTAAACACCAAGGACGTCTCGTGACTATCCCACGTTACCTCACGCTCACGATGTGGCCCTCGGGGTGCTTCTGCAGGTGGGCCTTCACCACCCAGGCTGTGTGCTCCCGGTAGGTCATGACGCGGCTGCGAGGAGGAAGGCGTGGTCAGGCAGGGCTGGGCAGGGCCAGGCTCAGCTCCTCTCCCAGGCCACTCAGGGCTCTGGGCGGACAGCCGTGCTGGCTCCACAACAGGAGGCCACACATGTGGCCTTGAGTCAAGAAAAAGGAAGCATTTGTGGAGAGTGTTGAGCTGCCTCTGCTGCGGGGCCCCAAGTAGCCCTGCCCATGCGGCGACACAGCCTTTTCCTGAGTCCTCCTCTAGTGGGCACCTACTGTGCCCTCCTTGGGCTGGCTTTTGGCCTTGGGCCAGTCTCAGGCCCACACCGACACCACGCTGTGTCACACTTCCAGGCCCCATCACTGGTCATAATGTTGCCCATCTGTGTTAACAGGCGCATCGGGAGTGTGAACCCCAGCTCTAAAAGCCCTAAAGCTGTCCAGGGGCCCTCTGGGGTTACTGACCAGGAGCCCAGGTGGGAGCTGCTGGCTGTATGGACCAGGGCTCCCAAGGGCCTCCAATGCCTGGCAGGAGCTCTCAGGACCCCTCACATACTACCCACAGGGAAGGTACCAGCTGGTYTCCACCCCTAGGCCTCAGAAGCAGCAGGGTCAGGCCTGCTTGGGGTTCYCCACTCAGCCCAGCTTTCCAAGACCCCTGTGTCCCTGCCTGCTGGAGCTTGGGGACCAGCGGCTAGGGCCTGTGGGCTGCCCACTGCTGCCCTGCAGCTTGGGAAGTGGAAGCACGCCTCTCCTCTCCTGCTGCCTCCTGCCACAGCCTAGAGAGCTCTCTGAGCCATCCTTACACCTGGGAGCCCCTGCCCATCTTGGGGGGAGACTGACCCCATGCAAGATGAAAATAGCAACATTCTCAAATATCTGGGGAGGGCCGAGGGGCCTGGCGGGAGGGGCTGYAGGGTAAGGCCAGGAAGGGACACTGCTGTGAGGCGGGTGCAGGGAAGGGAGAGAGGAGGGAGGGGACTGGGTAGGGCAGAACTGGTAGGGCCAACACCTGGAGGGCCAGAGCCTGTGTCCCCACTCCCAGCTGAGGGGTCGAGGGTGCTGGGCTTGGGGCAAGGAGGGACCACCACGAACCCAGCTTAGGTGTGTTCTGAGGGCGAGGTCGGCACGGAAGCTGCCTGACACAGCCAATGCCCRGGGAATTGGGGGAGGTGAAGACAGGCGCTGACTTCTCTCCCAATCACCAGGCCTGATGGGAGCAAGGCTGCCTTTTGCTGGGTGAGTACTGAGGGGGACCCTGCCTGGGGCTGGGGGCTTCCTGGGATCCTCTGGCCCTCTGTGGAGCCAACTCCCAAGTTCCATGCCTGCCTGCCCAGAGGGGTGTTTTTGAGGGGACAAAGATGGCTTAACTAAAGGTCTGGAGACAATGGACGTCCCATGAGATCCACTCTGAAGTGCAAGATTCAGCTGGCTCCAGTGGACTCCTGCTGTTGACCTGCACCCCTGGGAGCAGTCTACCAGCTGCCCACAGTGGTGCCTCTGGGGACAGGTTGCCCGTTCTGGCAGGGACCTCCCACCAGGGAACATGAGAGCCTGTGGTGCCCTGGCTTCCCCCTGTCCCCAGGAGCTGGTGTCTCCTGGGTGCCTGAGTCAACACCCATCTCAATCCTGTCCCACTGTCCTGGCCATGAGGATATTTCATCTCTGGTGGCCACTGCTGTGACTCCTGGACTGTCCTTATTGGCACCAAGCCTACTTCCCAGAAAGCAGTGGGTGTACAAGAGACACCAGGAACAGGACCACGGGGACGCCTGGCCCAGGCCGTGGATGCTCTGCATCTCCTGTTGAGGGCCTTAAGCCTCAGCCCCCTGTCACCTGCTGAGTGGCAGCACCCAGAACAGCAGTGACACCTGGTCAGCCCATGCTGGGCCCACATGTGCTCCCTGACTCCTGACGCTCCTGCCCACAACCCATGTGAGATGGAGGCTGAGATGGTGGGGCCTTTCCAGGACCCCCCCACTGCCGTTCTCTCCAGG